GTTAAACCAAGTTTCTTGGATGCACATTATATCTGGGTGAATACCTAACAAATTGTTATCAATAAGGGAAGATAAAAAGTTTGCGCCATGCGCCGTCAAGCCTTGTGCGTTCCATTGTACAATCAATAGGTCTGATATGGACTTATTAGTTATATGAGGCGACTTTTTACCATTTCCATGGTAATGTCTACCTTCAAAATTTCTTTGCCTGCTCTAACTACCGCTTCCAAGAAATTATCATCATTACTGGACTGAGGCAACTGTCGTACCACAAACAGAATAAACATAATCAAATCAATAGATGTCATATTTACTGGAGTTTGGGTTGCAGTTTCCTTCTTTGTTTTTCGTACTGGAATTGGGATCTGGGAATGAGATCTGGGTATTGCCCTGTCCCTTTCTTCCTGTCCCTTTCTTTCTCGTACTGTGTGTGGGGTATGGGCCTGAGGGTTCGGATTGGCTCTCTGAGGATTCGGATTGGCTCTCTGAGGGTTATTTGGCCTTGATTCTGTGTTATGTTTTTTGGCAGGTTTGTTTAGATTTGCACTACCCATGTCTTTCTGATTATCCATGTCGGTAACGGCATTTTCATGTATCTGTGCACGATGGGCCTTGGCCGCTTGGGCATAAGTGAGGTTTTCCTGTAATTTTATTTTTTGAATTTGCTTCGCCTCTGCATAAAATTTACAACCTTGGTAAGCTGCAGAGTGGTTTTCACCACATCTGAGGCATTTAGGGTTCTCCTTATTAGGGCAATCTTCGAACTCATGTTCTCCCCCGCATCTAACACATCGGATATTGCCTTTACAAGTTTGCCTAATGTGTCCGAATAACTGACATTTATGGCATCTCGGCACAGGAAGGATATAGTCATCCACTTGCTTTACCTCATACAGAAAATGTATGGACTCGGGTAAGTTTTTACCCTTGAAAGTGAGGAGAACGGAAGGGGTTGCTACCATTTCTCCTTTGATCTTCTTCATAAATCTTTTAGCGTTCACTACATTCTGTTCTTTCAAAACTTCCTCTATTTCCTAGTTACTGATTTGGGGATCAATCTTGTGAATAACTCCTTTAGTGGTTGATTGGCTCCCATCGTATCGTGTAACTTTCACATTAATGCCCGCCAACTGGGTTAATTCCAACAGTTTGGGTATTTGGTTTTCGCTCTCACATCTCACAATCAACATGTTTCTTTCTTTTACCATATCTTTTACTCTGCCTACAAGATCATGAATTTGTTTTACAACCTTCACGGGGTTGGCTCTGCACACATTCTTATTCTCCAATCCAACAATAACTACTTTACCCTCAGAATGAGTTGGTGTCGAGCGGGAGAATTTGGGTATTTTGTTATTCTTTTCATGTAACACTCCATCACTATTGCTTCTAACCCTTGGCCTCTTTTTCGATTTTTTGCGTACTGCCGTTTTCCATGAACAATCTGCAATGTCACTATCTTCCGGGACCGTAGTACCGTCAGAAGATATACCTTCACCTAAATCATGTAATTATAGCTAAATTAATATATTGACCTTGAGAGGGCGCTATACAACATAAAGAGTTCATTATTTACAATTTCATCTCTTTAGACTCGATTTTAACCGCGACAATGATTACTGAATATTGTAGGATCGCATATGCTTCCAATTTGTTCATTTGAACCAAATTCCCATACCCCATACCAACATTTTGTATTACCTTTAAAAATCTGACTTGCTCTAAAACTATACAGCCAAAAATTGTTTTAACCACAGGTTTTTCCCATTAATAAGCTAAAGATTACACTTCATACAAAATAAACAATCTGGCATTAAATGGTTCGCTTTTGTAGATCCACAGGGACTGAAGTCCCTCGAGCATAGACTAACAAAAACAATTGAATAAATGACATCTATAACATGCTGGGGCAGTGGCGGATCCTGTGGGGGGGGGGGGGGGGGGCGAGCCCCTGAGAAAAAAAAACCTTTTTTGGGAGTTTGTCCCCCTCACTTCCCGCCCCCCCCCCCCCCCACTCAGCGCATTTTCGGCCGGCGCGATTTTCAAATTTTCGGGAGCATCAAGACAAAAAATTGGGCCCCCACCCCTAAGAAATCCTAGATCCGCGCCTGTGCTAGGGGTCGAGTAGATTCGTAGTCTGAGATCAAAGACTCAGTTTTATTGTTTGCTCCATTGCCGTTTTATGGGTAGAATATAGATAGCTCTTTGTCAACTGTGAAATATTTTCATGCTCGCTAACATAGCTGACCCTCAATATCTCGAAATGTTCATCTACCTGGTAAAAGCTTTAATGATTTTCTTGACCGCTAACTCGCTAACCTGTAGTAGGGTTCTTCAATGCGTATGCTGTGTGTCAATATCAGGCGCGTACGCAGGGGGCTGGGGGGGGGGGGGGGGTTAACCCCCCTTTTTTAGTTGTGTGTTTTGGAGGAACCCCCTTTTTGTGTGTGTGCTAAAGGGTGACAACAAAAAAGTGACCCCCCCCCCCTACTGAACAAAATATCGGTTGGCATAATTTTCCAATTTCGGGGTCACAAAGAAACTCCAAAAATATTTGCTCTAGGTCAGTGAGGAACGGACTGAGAAGGAAGAGCAAAATGGTGAAGAAGAAGAAGAAGAAGAAGGGGTTCATGAACAGGGAAATCAGACAAACTCCATGAGGGAGGGAAGGAGCTGACATGGTCAAAGAACAATTAATACAAAAGTACAAGAAGGGAGAAGGAAAGGCAAAAAGGGAAAGCTTATATTAATAACCTGACGAAAAGGGGAAAATGAGAGAAAAGAAGAAGACGGAAAAAGGACCGAATCAGTGATATATGAATAATGATCAATAACTATGCTATCTTAGGAAGTACGATATTAGATTTTACATAAAATATGTACACATTTGTAAGTTTGAGTGTGACAACTGAATCCATTCAGTTGAATGGTTGTTTCAATACATGTCGGTTAGTCTTAGGACAAGCGTTTGATTTGCAGGAGTTATTGTTAGTGGGAGATACAAAGTATTTTATTGAATCTGTGCATCAATGCTCTATATTGTTCTTCGAACTGGAATTTCGTAGCTCTACGACCGCCCTTTTCCTTCTGAGAGTTTGCACTCAATTGTACTCAAATGCAAAACCAGGATAGCGCCATCTTCAGCTCAGGACAGGGAAGTAGAGGTCGCAAAGTTAGTAGATGCTCATACAATAAAATCTAAAATCAGTCAATTTCAAAACTTGCTGCTATCACTCCGAGGCGCGCCACCCACCCAGGCGCGCCTCGGGGTGATAGCAGCGAAGGCAAATTTCCCCAGAGCCAGTATAGAAAAAGCCAGTCCTCGAGTATTAAAGCAGTCGATATCCCTTTTATATGCCGAATTCAAACAAAAATCTACCAATAATTCTAACCTTATCCTTTAAGGACCAAACAAAAAATATATATATATATGTTTAGCTTCCTGAGGCCCTTTTTTTTTTCTTTTTTTTTTCTTTCAAAATGGCCGCTCAAAATGGCCGCTCGGTACATTTCCCCTGACAGCCGGGCTATTTTTCAAATTGGCCGCAGACAATTTTTTTTTTTTTTTTTTTTTTTTTTTTTAAATAAGAAATAGATCCATTTTAAAAGTGTTTTTCATGTTTGTTTTTTTAATCCAAAAAAATCCAAAAAAATTGCTAAAAAAATAGGAGGCGGCCCCCAAAAAGGAAGCGGGCGGGGACGCTAAACATGTATATTTTTTGATGGCCTTATCGAGTAAAGATTGGTTAAAACATCACGGAATTTTGCCGGGATTTTACTCTTGGACTATTAAATGGTTTTGGCATTTTTCGTTTCTTTACGGGAATGGCTAAAATCACGACTGCAATTTCGACCAATCAGATGGCTGGATTTCCTAAGTGAGGTTTATAATGAACTATACTCACACCTTGTCTTCTCTGATACCAAACAATATCTTGTTCATCATACTGGTCCCATTTTACTGATGATATCACATCCAAAAAAGGGTACATGTATTCCCGCCTTGAAATAGAATGATTGCTATCAATATTATGACGTCATTCAAAATACATCGTTTAACACGGCGTCGAATATAATATGAGCATAATTATTGGTACGTACGACGCTAAAAGAAGATTCAACATTTAAACAAATTTATTTCCTTCTCATTTATTAATTTATTTCCTTTAAACAAAAAGAAAACAGATGTGAAAAGTATTCATGAGATAAAGAAAAGACTTGCAACGACAAGGATATATTTAATAAGATGAAAGCAAGAGTAAAACCATCACTCATCAACACAATAAGAAAGATGCAAATGCAATTTGTGACATATACAGATAGGATTATCTAGAAGAAAACATATTAAGAAGCCTTAACCCTTAAATGGGCAACCAAAAATGTAATTAGCAATACCAGCTCTTTAAGAATACCAGAAAATAAGCAGAAATGGTGGGCCATGACAGCCGATGTCCTAAACACACCCGGCACTTGATGATGATGATGATGAGGGGGGAGGGGGTGAAAGTATTATCATCTTTCTTCTAGCTTGCAAGGAATATTGAATTCATAATGAATAAGTTCAAATTTTAATATTGAATCGATGTGATGGAGGGATGGAGGCAATAATGGTTCTATATAAATGCATGATACAATATTCCTTCTTCATATGGACAATGATGGACATATGAATTTCTAAATAACAGATTATAAATAAGTATTGTAAATATTTGATTTGATTTTGATTTGATTTATTTACCAACAACAATACATTTTCATACATTTTATACTATAATTACATTTACAGGAAGAGAAACTATTGGTTGGTAAAAAGGGGCCAGATAATAGCACATGTGCTAGTCGAGCCTAACCCCTTAAACAGCTAAACAAAGTATTTTGGTACAAATCAGTTTAGAGAATGGAACAAAACAAAAAATAATTAATTTACTTTTACAATCGATGCTTTAAAAAAAAAACAAGAATCAGTACTCAATAATGTCTTACAATATACAAACTAATAATGTAAAATATGAATTATGAATTGTGTACACTTGATATTACATTGTCTATGAAAGTTTGGTGTAAGTTCAGTATAGCTCAAACCCTGTATCACGTGATGTGGTTGACAAGGTGGGGCGTCGGCAAACTAACAGATATTACGTTCAAATTATCTCATCTAAAAATTAATATCTCACCAATCACCAAAATTCATGTCCATAATTACAGTAGTATACGTATGGTGGAGCTGCAGTATAGGCCTAATAATTATATCAACATCAACATATCTAAATATGAATTGATATAAGGCTAGCTTTGAGCACTTTTAATCATCATGATCTGTCATATCTAGCAGGAATCTATTCGCCGGATAATTCTGAGTGTCTACAAATACATGGTGAACTATTTGGTAAACTATTATCTCCGCACCATTCTCCTGAGTATTTACGACATCTCAATGATGGCATACCGCAACAATTTTCCATACCTCGCCGCCCGTCACACGGTTGTGCATATGGTGTACAGGGCTGTAAAATAGTGAAACATTGAGATACAAATCAATGAGTGACAACCAATTTTGTTTGTAAGCAAGATATTAGACTTCATGCATAATCAAGGAGTATAAAGAGTGAGTTTATTGGAGAAAGTTAGGAACAACACCAACAACAAATTGATAATGTTTCAAAATGGCATTTTTGCCCTAGTGATGTTGATCTCGTCTTATTCTCTGCAGTATAAGCAGTCATATGAGGTGTTTTTTTTTCATGGACAACAGGTACATATCAGATAAAAGAAGATTATGACCGAGAAAAAAAAAAATTGAAAATGAGTTGATAATCAGAGGATGGCGAGGAAGAATAGAGGTCAGTATACTCACGTCCGGGTTAGGTGGTGGGCGAGGTCTGGCTTCCTGAGTACAAAATAAAAACATGAGAATGTTACAGTTTTACTTGTAAAATATGATTAAATTTCAAAATTACGCATTTTCATTACTTATTTTACATATACATGTATGTAAGGAGGAGGCGATGATGTTATCAAGACACATTTGACGAAACTTAGACTGTAACTATACAAGGGCTATTTAAAGAATGAATGAAGAAATGAAAGAAGGAATGAATGGATGAGTGAGGGGTGAATGGACGAATATCAAGGCCCGTTGCAATAATTATAACGCGTTTATATAAATCATTTATCACTTCTTATTTCATATGTTCTTATCTTTATTAGAAGACTTACATTACACTTATTTAAAACAAAACTACTGTATTAATGGAGAGGAGTGGAAATCCATTTTCAAAGGAGTCATATTAGGGATCACTTTCTTTGGAGCTGAATCAACTCAATAGAAGTGATCGAATAACTCTTTTGATTCACAAATTTTCGCGTGGATTTCAAACGACTCCAGTACATGTATACAATGCGTATAAAAAAAGTGAAAATGTGCTCTGAAATGATGCTATCACTAAATCTGCATGATTTCTTTATTAGTACACGATTGCGAGTTTTTTTTCTTCTTCTAAATAAGCGAATGCTCACTCAATCGTTAAACATTGTCAATACTTTTAGTGCCATTCCATAATTTTGTAATTAAAAACAATCATGCAGATATCCTATAATGATAATTTTGGAGGATATTTGCAAAGTGTGTATTTTTTCGGTACGTATACTGGATAGAGCACAACCATCTTATTGTGTATTTTACCTCGACATCGGTGGTATCTCCTGATGCACCCTGGTATGTAGCTAGTACACACAGCATGGCCAGCATCAAGTATGTAGTATACACTCTCTGTGTGATTGGTGCCATCTTATACGTCACGTGACCTATCCACCATTTGTAAGCAAAGCAGAACAGTAGAACTTGCAATGTTTCTCCTTTTATCAAAATCAAGTTCTGAACATGCTAGTAATATTCAATATTCTTTCAAAAAATATATTTATTACCTACGGTTCACCCCCCCCCCCCCTCCCCCACTCCGTGGTCGGAGGGACCTCATGTGTGTTCCCAAAATCTCCGGTAAAGGGGTACCTTTTCGTGCAACAAAGTCTGGCCCGCCATTGACTTTCACACCGGAGATAGGGGGGTCCTTTCAAAAAGAGGGAACATGCGTACGCGTACCCTAAATAACACTGAGTGGGGGCCGGGAGGGGGTGGGGCGGGTGTTCACCATTCGCAAATAAAATGTGTGCATGTACAATGCATAATTTCATTCTCACAGAAAACAAGCAGGAGATTGTAATGTCTCTGAAAAGCTATCATGGCAAGGAAAAAATTAAAAATTTGAATTAAATGAATGACCTTAAATGTGTTTCACCTTTGATTCTATATATATTTAGATCACAATATTTTGTTAGATAAATTGAATTACTATGGAATAAGAGGTGTTGCTTACACATGGTTGAAACATTATTTGAATAATCGACACCAAATAGTTGTATATAAAAGTGTAAGTCAGTGTGAGTAAATCACACTAGCGTTCTTTAGTGATACGAACTCGGCCGGGACCTCCCCATTACGAGATCACTGGGCCATCACACCTCTCAGAGCTGCCAAAGCATAGCTCCTGATTTCATGTATACATAAAGCCCGTTGCAAAAGAGGCGAAGAAATGTCTGAAGAAATGCAGACCTATGCTCAACAACTGAATTTACACCAATTATTCCCAAATCCAGACTCTCAACTACCAAAAAAACGTTATACAGTGGCTGCTTCGAAAACGTAGTACAATATTTCCCTTTCCATCATAGATTTAAGCTATCTTGCCACTTTCAAAAGATCCATTAGAAAAGACTTCTTCCCTCAGTAATAAAGTATGATTTACCTATTTATGAGTTTTATGTTTCTCTTCACATTATATTACTTTGTATACAGTAGGCCTACGGTTACACCATGTGAGAGGAGGAGGACTGGGGAGTCCTGAAAAGGACTGTCGGTAATCTTTCTTCTTGAGTTGTGTGTAAGCCTATTATCTACATCACCATGCAAGCCGATACTTATATTAAGCAGCATCTAAGGTACTCTTTGTTTTAGCGCTACTAAATAGTCGATATCATTATAATAATAATAATAATAATAGCTAGTTTTTATATGGCGCTTTTCAGGACCGAAGGCCCTCTTAAAGCACTATACAGAAATATATATATTATTACCCCGGTCATCAGGTTCAGGCTTACCCGCACACAATGTATGCATATTCTCCACTCCATGGGGAGCATTCCAGCCAGGCGTCATTTTTACAAGCGCACACTTGCTAATCTAAGCACATTAGCTTTCGCATCCTACCGGGTACCCATTTAACACCTGGGTGGAGAGTGGCAAATATAGATCAATGTCTTGTCAAAGGACATTAGTGCCGCGGGGGGACTTGAACCGCGGACCTTGTGATCCACAGTCCGGTGACATATTCACTCGTCCACGACACCTATCAAAACAATAACAAACTGACATTTTCAGAAAGACGTATCATGTGCAACAGGCCTAGTAAATGTATAAAAGGGCTGTTGGACCTACCTGATTTCGATGCGGTGTTCGACTAGAATTTGGTGAGATGATGATATACTCTCTCGTAGCTTGATGTGACGAAGTGTCTCTATCCAGCTTTCTGTTGAAGTACTGTCTAGATAGTTTCTAGTTTTATAGAATATCGAAGCCTGCCATGACCATCTGCTCGTAACCGACAAGTCACCGCATTCATTTTATGAAATATAGTTTATAGTTTTACTGCTGCTGCATTTGCGAGAGTGTGTAAAGATACTATAAGGACGACGCCTGGCCATGACCATATGCTCGTAACCGACAAGTCACCGCATTCATGTAAAATTGAAAATAGTGTTCAACAACACGCTGGTGGGTAAAACTTTCTAAAATTGTAATCAAAATGACAAACTTTGAATCATCGTCAATTGTTTGTATATTTACAACAGCTAGATTTCTTACTTTGTTATGGATTGAGTAGATGTTATTATTGATTTGAAATGGTTTTTATGAATTCTTTTTCTCAACAAACAATATCGAATACATTGCACAATTAGGATACAAAATAGTGCAAAATTATATTACATAAAACCCAATACAATTATACTTATACATATACTCATCAATACAATATATGAAAGTAATAGCTTACAACAACTTTATTTTGATACATGTATTTGAGCACTGATTTCTTATTAAAATTCCTATAGAATTGACACAGAATACTTCTGTTATTGTGAGAGAAAAAATAGATCATACAATCATGCAGTCGTTAACAAATGAAAAGAACCTAAATCATAACTGAAATGACAATTAAAAAAAATTTTAAAAATGAGGCGAATGATATATGGTTCCCCTCCCTGTTCTAGCTTGTCTTACATACTCCCCTACTCTCAGCCCCCCCCCTCCCATTAAAAACATCATTACATATATCCACATACATACTTTAAATTGAACATAGTGTACAACAACATGCTGGTGGATAAAACTTTCCATTAAATAATTGGTATCTTAAATGTTCGTTTTGATTAATTACCTCCCTTTTATTTCTCCCTGTTTAATACTGATGAAATGTTCAATTTGACTTAATCAAAGCCCAATATTATATTAATATTTTCTTTATGCAAGAGAGAGAAAGAGAAAGAGAGAGAATATTAACTAACAATTCTCGTGTACAACCATGAATTGCACTCTTCTCAGTATGATTCAATTCGCTGCCAATATTCAGATTCTGAATATGGTTAATCCACTTAATACATCAACGCTGTTAACCGCATACATCGTTCCAACCATATACCATATACCCATACAGCATATTGATCAAATATGGAAATTTTCCAAATGAAATTTGAATTAAAAAAAAAAAAAATTCCATGTACTAAGAGGCTTTAGTGAAATCATAAACTCTGTGAATGGCTTAGCGCTAGTTTCTGAGGGACCAGTCACCGACGATCCATAAGCTTACAGGTGCCTCGAACAGAGTGCATGATACATTTGATTTATATCCTTCATGAAGAAATGAAAAACTAAAACTGTAAACTATAAAGAAATACATCAAAAATCGTTTATCAATTCACACCTTTGCCTAAAAAGAAGAGTAAATGTGTTTTTGTATGATTGAACTAATGGATCAATGTGAAAGCATTGATTTTTCATCGCTATATAATTAAATATTTCACCTTTGAACATACCTGCTTCGTATCCATCACGAATGAACATTTAATTGGTATTTTAAATGTTCGTTTCGATTAATTACCTCCCTATTTATTTCGCCCCGTTTAATACTGATGAAATCTTCAATTTTTCTAAATCAAGCCCAATATTATATTCATATTTTCTTTATGCAAGAGAGAGAGAGAGACAGACAGAAAGAGAGAGAGAGGGAATATATAAACTAACAATTCTCGTGTACAACCATGAATTGCATCCTTCTTAATATGATTCAATTCGTTGCCAATATTCAGATTCTGAATATGGTAAATCCACTTAATACATAAACGCTTTTAACCGCATACATCGTTCCAACCATATACCATATGCCCATACAGCATATTGATCAAATATGGAAATTTGAATTTAAAAAAAAAATCATGCACTAAGAGGCTTATGTAAATCATAAACTCTGTGGATGGCTTAGCACCAGTTTCTGAGGGACCAGTCACCGACGATCCATAATTTTACAGGTGCCTCGAACAGAGTGCATGGTACATTTGATTTATATCCTTCATGAGGAAATGAAAAACTAAAACTGTAAAATAAAAAGAAATACATCAGAAATCGTTTATCAATTCACACCTTGTTTGTCAAAAATACACACAAATCCCCTCCCCCACACCCTCCATATACACACACTGTGCTTGCAAAGAGAGTTGCCAATTCCAAAGTAACTGTGTTTTTTTTTTATTGGGGAGGATATTGATTTTGTTGATGTTATTCTAGATTTGAAATGTTTTTTTGTATACTTTTCCTTTCAACAAACAAAATCGAATACATTAATTGCACAATTAAGATACAAAATAGTGCAAATATGTATTTCATAAAACTAAATACAATTTTACTTATAACCTCGCCAATACAATGTATAAAAGTAATAGCTAACATATATTTTATATATTTATGTATATGAATGAACACAGATTTCTTATTAAATTTCCTATAGAATTGACACAGAATACTTGTGAGAAAAAAAAATCATATAATCATGTAGTCGTTACAAAAAGGAGAAGAAACTAAATCGTTACTGAAATGACAATTAAAAGAAAGAAATACAATGAGGCGATAGATATATGGTTCCCCTCTCTCTTCTAACTTGTCTCACACACTCCCCTACTCCCAGCCTCCCCCCGCCACATTAAAAACAATCTGATACATATCCACAAACACACTTTAATTTGAACATAGTGTTCAACAACATGCTGGTGGATAAAACTTTCTAGTTATTAACTGGCATCTTAAATGTTCGTTTTGAAAAATTACCTACCTTTTATTTCTCCCTGTTTAATACTGATGAAATGTTCAATTTGTCTTAATCAAAGCCCAATGTTATATTCATATTTTCTTTATGCAAGAGAGAGAGGGAGAGAGAATATATTAACTAACAATTCTCGTGTACAACCATGAATTGCATCCTTCTCAATATGATTCAATTCGCTGCCAATATTCAGGTTCTGAATATGGTAAATCCACTTAATACACCAACGCTGTTAACCGCATACATCGTTCCTATCATATAACAATATGGCCATACAGCATATTGATCAAATATGGACATTTTCAAAATGAAATTCGAATTTTAATTAAAGATGAATCATAAACTCTGTGTAAAGCTTAGCACTAGT